TACATACAGGGTGATAGAAAACTGTAAAACGTTTTTTGCTATTATTTTTTTCAACACTCAATTTTTGTGTTTCAAAAGTGCACACAAAATTTGGAAGTCAAAAGTAATTTGTCTGATATTCATTTTGGATAAATCCACCGAATTATTTTTCTCTACATAGCGCGTAAGTATATAGTTTGCGTATCATTTACACACTGATATTTCATCTTCGATGAGAGTCACCCGAGATATGGTCACTCAAAAATCAGACTTGGCAAAATTTTATTAAATCATAGAAACTCATGAGTTTACGCATATAATGAGGTGCACCAACATTGGTGGAATGGGCATATATTGAATATCAAACTAATGGAGTATTTTTTGTCGTCAATACACTGTATCTTATTATAATAGTTTGAAACAGTTTGGAAAACAGAGGTGACAAATACCACGCAAAACTCGGACTCAACGCTACATGAATGTGTTGTTTAATATTTTGTTTTGGAGAGTATTGGGGTTTTTTGGTGTGCAGGATCCCTTTGAGACTGTGGACTGTCTGTGTTAAGTCTTGGACATCATTTTATTCCAAAGCTATAGAGGATTGCAAGCAACACGTCTGAACTGGGAGCTAAGTCGAGTTTCTTCATTTGCTATTAATTGATGACCACTCCATCGTTGGTATGATTTGCTTTTCCGAGAATTGTCTAAAGACGTTGACCTTTTGAGAAGGTCTTTGGCCACGTATGAAGTCGCTACCTGAGACACACCATGACGAAATTAAGGATGTGACATGACAGTCCCACACTTGCACGATGCAGTCATTTAAGGGAACCCATTCGTCGATTCTCACAAGTGGTGTTTTGTTCATTCCAGCTAGACCACCCCAAACCATGGCAGTTTCGTGGTATCAGTTCCTCAGTGACATATCATTAGATATATCTAAAATCTAACTTAACACAGTCCTTTTAGTTTTTTAGTTTTAGTAAGTTTACGGCGCTCGCAACTGCATAAGGTCATATGAGCGCCAAGGGGTGGATGTCAACAGAAAAGTCAAAACCGAGAATCAGGCTTACTCTGCTCACCTCTCTTGTCTTAACAGCACAACGTCTGCTCCAATCATCAAGGAACCCCAGAAATAGCAGTTCACAAGAGAGTGACAAACATATAAAAGAGGTAGAGGAAAAAATGACGATAGTAAGGATGAGGAAAGAAAAAGCAGCAGTTCCCCCATTGTTGTTATGGCACAGTATAAGCATGACATTAATACATCAGCCCATTTACAATTGTACTGTGCATAAGAACATGTTAATATCCACCCTTTGGAAATGGCCTAAAGACACTTCAGTCAGTGGCACTGCCCTAAAGGAGTTAATGCAGTTCGTGCTCAAAAAGGGTTGGTGCTCTACACAAAACCAAAGGCTCCAAAACAAAAAACAAAAAGGAAAATTCGAGTAAACTGCCTTTCCCGAGGCTCGAACCCTTGAACCAGCAACCTCACAGTAGCTTAACCTCTAGACCACCGACGCAACATAGATAGATAGATAGATAGATACATACATACATACATACATACATACATACACACACACACACACACACACACACACACACACACT